AAGCGTGATTCATTAGAATTCAACGAAAATGTAGACATAAATAAGGAAGGAAAATAAAGGAAGGGGTGACAGAACGTGGTGACTGCGTGGTCGCAGAAGGGAAGGGAATGACAATGGCTCTTTCCGTGGGTTGACTCTCGCGGTTCTTCAAGTCAAACACGAAGACGCCAACTGACGCTATACATTTCGTGAACGAGAAATGGGGGGTTCGCGTGGGCTGTGCATGCGCGAGGAACGGGGGCTGGTTGGGAAAGGCGCGAGAAAGTTATAGACAGGAGTGCGAGAAGAGGAAGAGGCAGAGATGAAGGTTGGCGAATGTAAAAAATGTATTTACCGTCCCAGTTTGCTCCGGTTGGCATGGCACGGCGAAAGCTCTTCAGTAAATCCAGCTTAAAGCAGCTGTGTAAACGTTGACCTATATTACAATCACGGCACCCAAGTACGCTCGGGTACAAAGTAACTACGTTCGTAGGTATCCGGCTGGCGCTTTGGTTTCTTCCAATTTTTCCACTTTTTTTTCTCCCGTTCTAGCAATCCTTCCTGTGCCTTTCAACGAACCTCTTTTTTACACTACTTCACTGCGACTAAGTTCGAAAGCTTTTGAGGGCTGCCAAGCACGGTACCAATCCGACCGGCTTACGTATACGCGTATACTATGTCAATGGCCGCGCATGTTTCCTTTTGGTTGGCTGGGAGATAATTGCGTACACCCCAACGAGATGCCGCTCTTCTTATAAGTGTACGAGCACGTAGGGAGATGTAACGAGCGCACCAGGACTAATCCCTGCAGCGTGCGTCAGGTCCAGCGGATATCAGGGACGAGCACGTTATGGTGTAAACGTTACGCTATGGGATCCTTTTAACGTAATGGTGAAACATAAGGTTGTTGACTTTTATTCGAATTGCAAATCAAATTTATAGAAATGTTTTCTTCTCGCTGTTCGATTAGTTATACAACCCGATGATGCTGTATAGGCGGTATCTACAGGCAGCTGGTGTATCTAAATAGAAATTTATAATTATTTGACTAGTGTGGTACTATAGATATATATCTATATTTTCAAAATCCACTTGCAAGTCGAAAAAAACTTACGGCACAAGAGGATTCGAATTTCGTGGCATTAACGTGGGCTGTGTTTTTCTCATCTCCTGGTCGCTTGGCACTTAAGCTCCAGCATCCAGTGTGCTTTCGGGCGGTGCGCGTTACGGCACAACTCTGAGTTCTTAGACCCGTAAATCCTTTAAGTGTCTCTCCGCCCTTGCTGGCTAGGGATCTCTCCTCTCTCTTACGTCTAAGAGGGACTTGCCCGAGTGTTGTACCATTTTTCTTTGCCTACATCTTCCGCCTCATCTGTATCGTCGGTAGGGACGGCCGTCAGGAGTCCCTCTTAGAAGATTAGATGATAGTCATCTCCATGATGGAGGGAAAGAGGTCGGGGGGAAGATCCTACTACGAACGGTAGTCTCTCTCGAAGCGAACGGCACAATCGATCTTGGAAAGAGACTGTTACTACCGTCTCTCCGGTTACTTAGCTGCTTGCCGCACTGCTACTGCTTTTGTATCTATCCTTATACTCGCGTAATTTCTACGAATGGGACTTCATTAAAAAGGAGTACGCACAAAGCGTCCCAGCTGATTTAGTCCGGACACGAACCTCTATTGATTTCCCAGCAAGAGCCAAAAATCTTTCACGGTAGGAATATTTAAGTAAAAATAAATTACGCGGTGGATGACGAATTTTTTCTTCATTTTATTTAAAAAAATGAACCCCTGAACGTAGCTCTTGATAACTCTCCATTGAATTCACTTCTGGTGGTATCGAATGGTATCAGGGCACTCGAGATTGGGTCCAGGGGTTGGTAGAAATGTTATTTTGGAAACAGAATGATAAAAGCTCGATAAACTCTGGTCCATTGTAGGTGGGCGTCAGTGTCACTTGAGAGAACCCCCAGCCTTTCGTCGACATTGTTGTGGGCTCAAGCACAAAGCTTCTATCCCCTCGCGCTCTTCGTCCCTCGTTACTGTCACAGTAGGGATGGACTGTTGCTTCGTTCGCGTCGCGTCCTCATCAATGAACTGGCAACGGGTTTTCATATTTAAATAAACTGGCTGCCTCTGCGTATATCAATACTCCAGCCATATATAGCGTATAGAAATTTTAAAATTATTCAGACCTCTATATTTTATTCTTTTATTCGTCATTCCAATTCGATCCCTCTACATAGTCCATTCGGGTCCTGTCCCCAACAAGGAGCAGCGCGACAATCGTCCATGGGTCGAACGTACCAGGAACCACGTGGGATCGGAAATGGATGAAGTCATTGAAGAAAACCTAAGGAGCAGCGGCGATTTCCTCGTAATTACCAACCATATCTGAATCTAGGATCAACGCATCGGTCTAACCCAATCCCATATTCCCTGCGGATTCCACGCCAAATCCCCATACCTACTCGAGACATTTAGGACTGAAAGAAAACGTAAAATTCAATTTTTTTTTTTTCAATCTCCCAAGCACCCTTATTTCTCCAATCGCTTCGGAGAAGGGTTCACCGATAAAAGGCACAGAGTCCAAAGGGTAGGGTACTACAGCAGAAATTGGAAAATGACTCGGGAAGACGAGGAGTTTGCACAGTGGGAATCAGGGAGAAAACAGAACAGCCGAACCAAAACCCAACCACTTGGGTATTCCATGTGAGACGCACGCCGGTATTTAGGACTTCGCTAATGCATCTCGCGTATTTCCGAGAATTGTTGGCGCGTTTACTTTGCGCGAGCCCTACCTGCGGGGTTTGCTCCAGAGTTTATTCAGACCTTGGCAGAGCCAGCAAGAGAGACGGGAAACGTGTTGGCGGAAGAGAGAGCGAGAATGGGGGTGCGAGTGAGAGGACAGAAAATACGGGAAATCAGGTTGAAGCTGAGAGGTTACCGAAGGGATGGTAGTCTGAACCTGGTACTTATAGCGAGACAGCAAGGAGGGTTGAATGCTAAGCGTGGTTAGTCGGTTACGTGTAACACTTGCCTTCTTAATGAAAACCAGCGGTTCGGAAACGTTGGGTTTGGTTTCGGGGTTCTTGGCAATTCAATGTCTAATATGCGAATGCTGCCTCGAAACTATCATCGCGAATTTATCAAACCATCATAATAATAACCGAGCCATCATTTAATAATTGGTGATATATCTCAATGAAGAAAATCATCCCTTATAGCTTATCTTTAATCTACCCATAAATAATACAACGTTCACCATGCATGGATACCCAATCAATCCTGACGAAGCGAAAGAAAGAGAGAGGGAGAGAGATAGAAAAAACAGTATACTACCTAACAGATCCCTTTCTCTCTTTATCTCTCGTTACTTCCCCTATCCCCTCTCATCGAACCACTCCCCTTCTACCTTCCACCCTTTATCCCGTTCACGTTCGCTTATTCTCTCGAAACAGAAGCAAACTCCAGAGCTATGTACATATACCCAGTGACTCGCAGGGATGCTGAATATTCATACATATCGTTTCTTTAATTGATCCGTTATTCGCTTAGCCAGGGAGAAAACGAAAGCTACGTGATAAAACCCGTAACGGAGTCGTCGGATAAACTATTAATTAACAAAGTCAACACAGTACCCAAAGTCATAATAGACATGGAATTATTATTATTATTTAAAAAAAATTATTCCTAGCAACAGCCAACTACCCAAGAAGCGCCCGGATGATTCCCGAACGCGAAAGCACATACCGGAAGTCTCGTTTCGAATTAAATGGCCAACTGTTAAATGCGATCGTTAGAAGCGTATTGATGGTCATCATCATTCTCCGACCCATTATCACCCAGCCTGATAGGAGGACTCGTATAGTACCGTCGTAGCACTGTGTTAACAACCACCCTTAGAATCGTCTTCCTTTCAGGGTGGAACATTAGATATCTACCTTATAGGTACGCACTATCATCACCGATACGAAGGGGAAGGAAGGGAGACCGCCGAGAATTAATGTTCATTGATACTGCAGCGCCGTGTAATTCGATGGCGATTAACATTATCTCGTGGGGCCATTGTCGAGCGACGCGAACGCGCCGGCTACGGTAGAACAAGGTGGATGGGACGTTCAATGGCCAACAACAAAACCAATAACTATTAATCGAAGCGCCACCGCACATTCAGCAAAGTCCGCGGATTCGGGAAGCTCCTCTCAGTCCCAGCAAGACCAGGCTGTACTAACGAGGTACCGTCTCTCATTTTCACCCCTTGAGCTTGGAACATTCTCTTGGGGTAGTTCAACCCCGTATCTATACCCTGTACCTACAGCCTGAGATAGGGAATAATCGAGATTGAGAAACTGATGGGGGACTACATTGATAAAGCTGACGAGAACTCCTGGAAGAGAATGGCGGCCACGGTATACCTTGCAGGACGTTCTGCACGTGGCCAATTTCCACTTCCGGCTCTATGCCCGAGGATCTGCCGTTTGTTTTGTCTTTCGGCTACCTCCGCTGTACGCTCGGTATACAACGGGCGAACACCGCTGCTGTACACAACGGCGTAACACTATCCGTGGCTTGCTACTGTCACCCTTAACCACTAGGGGTAACTTGAGTCTGTTGAGTCTGTTCTCGTAGGTTCTATACCTCGTGTGGACGAGTCACGGGGCGAGATATACGAGTAGCGAATATCCGGAAGGGGCGGTCTGGGGAAACTCTGGACTCTGTCCGAGGGTAACTTCGGCTCTGGGAACATGACGCGAAAGCGAGAGCGACAGACGCGAAAATAGGAAGCGAGAGAGAGACAAGGGTAAGGAGTGTCAGAGCTGAGATATATAGCTGACGGATCATGAGGCGATGTTTCTCAAAATGGTGATGGCTCCGAGTGAGGGATGCGTCGAAGACTCGTATAGAAATCTACTGGAGGATGCTCGTTGCTTCTACGTTGCCGGAAGTGGAAAACGGACGAGCGGACAAACTACGGCGATTTGCCTCGCTTTAATGCTTCGATCGATCCTTTACTTACGGTAGCTGCCATGAAGGGGTTAAGGACAGCGTGGCTAGCCGGGGATGTGGCTCTTCTACGCGAGCCATCGCCTCCTGATGACCGTTCTCCCTTGTGACATCCTGAAACATATTACTCATGGTGAATCGATGCTTTCCAATAGCTTCCTCTAGATCCTTTAAATCGCTCTGAACCTTTTACTTCTATCTCGTGTATCTCAGGCATTGTACAGCAGTGACGCTGGTAAAGTATTACAGTATAACGTATACAGTGTATCTACTTAGAGTATTAGAACGTCACGAGAATTTCTGTAACGCGTATACGTTACATTAATGTTAAGAAAAACTAGTGTATTCCTGTGAAAAGATATAAATACAATGCTCAAACGAGACAAGTTGTTGGAATAAGATTTATTGAAAACACATTATTTTGGTTAACATAAAAGAATTGACGAAAAATTGTATCTGCTGTAAAAGTAAAAATTTTGATCAAGCGAAGAGTAAATAGCAAAGTGGATATCGCTTTAAAAAGTCTATCGCGGCCTTTACAGAGCGGTAAGCGATGTCAAAGAGGTCCTTGTGGAAGAATCGATTTTGACAAACTCGCCATGGGTAACAAGCGTAGTATCCTACAAGCGGCCAAAGAGGCTAAAAGGTAGTCGTAAATTAATTGAAAATAAATTCGCCGGCGTAATTGCACATTTTAATTTGAAGCTACGGTAAAGTGCTCTGCCCGCTGTCCCCGGGTTCTCGTGCGTCTCTCGCTCACCCCTTCATTTGCCTGGCGCTTCAAGGGCGCTGTATTTTAGGCCACTGCGTAATTAAAAGAGTTAGGTCTTCATTCAACCGTGCACTCGAACTCGTGCAAGAGCGCCGACACTATAATGAAACGTAACGGCACTTTGTATATCTTATTATACAAAGATTCGTATACGTGTAACGAACATCTTCATTCGGTGAGGTTTAATGAGACGCTTTTCCAACCCAGTCCCCATGCCAATATTCAAAGAGCGAAACCTTCAAATTGTCCTTTGACGTACGTAGCTTTGTTCCAGAATCTCGTGTAAGCTTAATCCGAACGAAATAATCCCACGCGTATCCAAAAATTCAAATTCTTGAAATAAGCCGAAATTTGGTAAATTAAATTTTTCTTTTCGATTCGTCCTTCCAAATATTTTGATTAATTAAAACTTTGTAAATAATTGAAGATTGTACATGGAAAAATAGCACGGTTCTTAATCCAATTGAAGATCAAGAAGTTTAGCCATTCGACGAAAATATCATTGTTTAATCCCATTTATAGATATCGTCACACGCTGGTGAATTAATCGAAGTTGCCTCTACCGAAAACTTCGTACCTTAACCCAGCCAATCAAACTTTGAGTTCTGGTAATCCTACGCCAAACATCCCCTCCGCATGTTATACGTTATGGTAAGGCAGTCCGTTTCCGAATGGAGTTTCGGTATGGTTAATCCGCAAGTTCCATAGGAATTGGTTAGGGGTTGGTTTCGATATCGAGGTGGGTATGCACATGATATTAGGGATGAGTGTGAAAAAGATGTTACTAAATATCCCGAGCAAAGAGATCCAACGAGGTAAAAGAAATAAGAACGGAGATGAACGAAGCGCGATTCAAGAGAAAAATAATAAGGCTGATAAAGACAGCAGGTTGGATACACATGGAGACTCGGTAGGAGGAAAACCAACGGAATCCAGCAACCGTAGTCAGCGATAATTTTACGAAAACTTTTCTAGCTCCAAATAAGGGGTGAGAGGGGTGAAATCGATTGGACGTCTGGTTTGCGCAGGGCGGAAGGACTTACGACCTAACCTCACCAGGGGGTAGAATCACAACGACAAAACCCGAGAGACCACGATTCGTGAATTACTCTCGAGCCATTAAGCGACTTAGCCCGAGTTAAAATTCGAACCGAAGGTTCCACGTGTCTGACCACCAGCGCCACAGCGGTTGGTACTGGTACCAGCTCGATACAGTCTGCACTGTAGTCACTATTGGATGTATGTATTACAGATATAATCTACTACGCTAGAGACATAAAGAACGTGCACAGGTATACGGATGGACATATTGAACGTACATATATATATACAGCGAAAGAGAAACAAAGACAAAACTATAGAATAACGCGCGAATAATAGCGCACGCCGTAATATTTCAGTCGAGTTTATCCGTCGCTGTTTTTTATAGCGATCCGCCCAGTGCTTTCCAGAAGAGATTTAAACGAGTCTGATAAAAACTTAACGCAATTCGATAACTATTCGTTAGCTCTAACGAAAGGAGCAGAATCGAGCATATACGTATGTATACATTTATATATATCAACCTGACGTTTGATACCATGCATGTACTACATATCCAAATATAGATATACGCAACAGCCGTGTATATTTTTTTCGTATCATTTCTGCCCTTCTCGGATGAACAGAGATATACCCGCAACATTAGGAACGTATTGTCGAGCCCAGAGACTAACAAGGGGAAGACGCGAGCTTGGGGTCACGGATATAGGAGTCCTTTTGGGGTAGGAAAGTACTTTGTAATAATAAACTGCAGGCCAAGTGGCAGGACGCAACTCGGACCCGTTTTCGAGAATAACCGGTTTGAAAAACGCAGTACTACTCATATACCTGCATCGTTGTCATTGCTTTCTAGAAAGCGGCATAGCTCGGTTGCAGCGCGCCTGACTACCACCCGAGCGGCCGGGGTTCGATTCTCCCCATTGCACGTGTATTTTTTTATATTAATTCTTTTTTTTTGCTACCCGACAAGCCATGTTTATCTATTAACAATTTTGTCAATTTACGCACAAAATGAGTGCATTGGAACACTATTATTTTTCATTATCAGACACTGGTTTATTGGAAAAGGTTATAAAGATTCAAAGCGTATTGTTAGGTGTACATATGTTTTTTATTATTCGCTATCACTACTGGCTTCTGTATAGCCTTTACATTTATTTGGATGGTATGTATCATAAAAGTATGCAAAACATAAATTATGTTCACACCATGCACATTTTATGAATGCAACTTCTGAAGACAGACCTATGTTTTTAAATGTGAACGAAAATAACGTTTCTCTGTCACTATCAAAAGAACATTGCCATTGCAACGAACAAGAAGTTGCATTCATAAAATGTGCATGGTGTGAACATAATTTATGTTTTCCATACTTTTATGATACATACCATCCAAATAAATGTAAAGGCTATACAGAAGTCAGTACTGATAGCGAATAATAAAAAACATATGTACACCTAACAATACGCTTTGAATCTTCATAACCTTTTCTAATAACCAGTGTCTGATAATGAAAAATAATAGTGTTCCAATGCACTCATTTCGTACGTAAATTGACAAAATTGTTAATAGATAAACATGGCTTGTCGGGTAGCAAAAAAAAAGAATTAATATAAAAAAATACACGTGCAATGGGGAGAATCGAACCCCGGCCGCTCGGGTGGTAGTCAGGCGCGCTGCCACCGAGCTACGTCGCCTTCTACAAAATATTGGCAACGGTGCAGGTATATGAGTAGTACTGCGTTTTTCAAACCGGTTTTTCTCGAAAACGGGTCCGAGTTGCGTCCTGCCACTTGGCCTGCAGTTTGTTATTACAAAGTACTTTCCTACCCCAAAAGGACTCCTATATCCGTGACCCCAAGCTCGCGTGCTCCCCTTGTAAGACAGATTTTGCGTGGGAAGCAGAAATGAAAGACATCTCTTTCTCTCTGGAGACTCTCCCTCTCCTTTCGCTCTCCCCGGCCTCTGTTCCTTTCCGTGATATTCCTCGCCCCACGTAAACGTCGAAAGCAAACCCGTCTGTCAAGTGCGATCCAGAGATTGGCGAGGTTTTTCTTTTCTGCCCGTTCCTCCCCTAGCCTTACTTTCTTACCCCCTGAACTGTTTGCCGCAAATGAGAAAACTCCTGCCAGCCGCGGATTATACAGACATAAATATACTATGTGCGATAAATAAAGCATCCGGATAACGACTCGCGATTTTCTTAAACCTCAAGGTTATACTTCGGAGCGCGTAACAGCTTCCGGCTAACGTTGAGTCCAGATGTATAGGGGCACGGTTCCGTCCTGTATCTTTCTTGCGGAATTCCATCTCCATCCCCTATAGCACTCTTACGGCTTTGTACATTCGCATTCGAGCACATGCATATGCAAATTTATTCCGGTCGCATTAGTATGTGTTTCAACCCCTATAGCTATGCTTCTCCCAGCAGCACCATAGTCAGTACCTTTACCTATGGCGGTACTGGTCGCGGTAGAGAGGGTCATAAATTAAATGATGTAAATGCTACGTCCACCCTCCGTCGCGGTAGAGATGCAACCGTTATCTTGCTCTCTCTCTCTCTCTCTCTCTCTCTCTCTCTCTCTCTCTCTCTCTCTCTCTCTCTCTCTCTCTCTCTCTCTCTCTCTCTCTCTCTCTCTCTCTCTCTCTCTCTCTCTCTCTCTCTCTCTCTCTCTCTCTCTCTCTCTCTCTCTCTCTCTCTCTCTCTCTCTCTCTCTCTCCCATCTCGTAGCAGGGTACTCCTAACTGATTATAATTATCGGAATGCGTCTGGTGATGAATTAACGCAAAACAAAATCATCCCCTAGATACAATGTCTGCGGTGACTGTGTACAGTAGGAAAATTCTTCCAATTGATTTTATGTGTATGAATATTAATCGGAAGAATTTTTATTGTCGGATAGGATAGTAACGAATTCCATATGATACCGTCGAGAAATCACCAGCTGGCACGGTTCATCAATTACGGATCTCTGAATTCTCTGACGAAAGCTCGCTACACGTGTTGTTGACCGCAAGAAATCATCCCTTTTGGGAAGCTTTAGTATTCCAGACTTGACCTTACGCGGGACTATAACCCTTAGGGCTGTTTCATACGGACGAGCTTTGACGTTGAGAATAACTATAGAAGCTAGTGTGTACACTTACGAGCTATAGTGAAAATTGGTATTGTACTAAATGCATCAGTAATTTATAACATGGAAAGTATAAGAAATATACCTAGAGTGGGCTTGGAATATTGGTGTGTATATATATATATATATATATATATATATATAATGATATTTTAGGGCAAGTGGCT